TCAAGAATGAGTTATTTGATATTAAAATTGTTTGAGTTATCAAGATAGAGAGTACCTATTGAAATGTGTGTCAAATGGAAAAGAAAAACCAACAGAAGTATGCAACAAATAAAAAATACGAACGCACAGAACACACTCAACTACTATGACATAAACCAACATTTGTCCCCTAAACAATCATATTGAACGGCTTTTGGTAGTTTCTAGAAGTAAAGTGATGATAAATAAATGAGAACATTTTTCGTAATATGTTATGTGAATTCTGGTGGAATGGTATTGTTGCTTATGGACTATAGAAGGAAGGAGCACACTTGAATTTCCAATCCTCATGCCCAAAATTTGTGTACTCTTCTATATAGAGGTAATTTAATAAGAATGGGATACAAAGACAAAAGTCTTACCTTTATGACTTCAACCAAGCAGTCCTTTATAGACACTAAATCTTCTTGAAATGTTACTAATCTAAAAAAAAAAAAAAAAAAAAAAAAAAAAAAAAAAGAAGAAGAAGCTTACATATACATCAAGCACATCATAGAGAGAAGCATTTTGCCACTATCAACAATTTTACAATTTCATCAAAACATAGAGGAATTATGATCAAATTTCACATTAATATACATAAATGCGACAAAGATGTATATTTTATAAACTTTATAGCAAGCCATATTGATAATTGATCCCTTTAATCTTTGAAAATAGAATGAATAATATGAAAGAAACTATCAAGTCCAAAGAGATCGCATTACCTCCATCCATGAAATCAGTTTGGTTAATGCCTGCAAAACAAATTTGGAAATCCTAATGATGTTCACGCCTATACAAATCTTTATGCGTATACTTGATGGAGACAACACAGACTACTTTTGTTAGGCATGGGAAATCTGTAAGGATTCTGTATGAATGAAACGAGAGAGAGCAATCCATCATGTTAACCCTTGTTTTAAACTAATCAGATGATAACCACCATCAACTTCCCACAACCACGCTGCTGTAACTTCTTACAACGTGTAACGTTGTGTCAAACGCAGTGGATTAGAATATAAATGTATTGTGACAATATAGGCCACACACGTGTTATAAATATACGTGTCTAACATTCTCTCACTTGGCCAATATTGACACACTTACTTTCCTTATAGGTTTGAGAACTAAAACTTTATCTAAAGAATTTAAGTGTATAAAATCATGGCGGAAATCACACTCTATATATGAGTGTTACCATCCATGTATCATTATGTCACTGTCTTTCTTTACATAAATATCTTTATGTGGTAGTACTATATAAATAGTTATTTCAAGAAAAACTATTCAAGGAAGTCAACTTTATTGTCCCAATGGACTATCTGTATGAATAAGCTCCCATAAGCCTATTCTGAGGTCCTACTTTATTATCCAAAAGGATAATTTGTCATTTTTAACTTTATGTATACTTCCTTAAAAATGACAAATAAATATCAAGAATCATCGTAACATAAATAGAATTACAAACTTTAAAGTGTCTTAGTAAATCAAACACAAGACATATCAATAAGCCCCATATGTCCTACATGTTCCTTATACAATTTGGGTGGCAAACCCTTTGTCATAGGATCTGCGACCATTGACCTTGTTCCTATGTAATCTACTAACACTTGATGATTCTAAACTTTTTCTTTAACAACAGGGAACTTTATGTCAATCCACCTGTTTGAACTCCCACTTGTATTGTTGTTACAAAAACGAACCGCAGCGAAATTATTACAATAGATTCTCAATAGCTTAGAGATGGAATCCACAATTTTAAGACCTGTGGTAAAATTCCGTAACCATAAGGCATGTCCTGTAGCCTCATGACATGCTCCGTACTCCGCCTCCATAGTAGAAGAAGTAATTGATTTCTATTTTAAGCTTTTCCACGAGATAACTCCTCCTGCAAAGAGGAATACATATCCTGATGTTGACTTTCTAGAGTCAATGCATCCTCCAAAATTAGAATCAGAATATCCAACCACTTCCAAAAGATCTGATCTTTTGTATGTCAGCATGTAATCATTTGTCCCTTGTAGATATCGCATCACTTTCTTTGCAGCTCGCCAATGATCCATTCCTAGATTACTTTGGTATCTGCCTAACATTCCTACTGCAAATGCAATGTCTAGTCTAATGCATACCTGCACATACATTAGACATCCTACTGCAGATGCATAAGGAATGACTTCCATCTCTTCCCTTTCCAAATCATTTCTTGGGCACTGATTTAGACTGAATTTGTCACCCTTGATGATAGGAGCAACACTTGAAGCACAACCCAACATTCGAAATCTCTCTAAAACTTTATTGATATAGGCCTTTTGGGATAATCCAATCAATCCTTGGGATTTATCCCTATAAATTTCTATGCTAGTGATATAGGATGCTTCACCCATATCTTTCATATCAAAATTTTTAGAGAGAAATTCTTTAACTTCATGTAGCAACCCTAAGTCGCTACTGGCAAGCAAAATATCATCCACATATAGGATCAAAAGAATGAACTTACTCCCACTAACCTTAAGGTATATACATTGATCAACGATATTCTCTTTAAACCCAAAAGAAGAGATAACATCATGAAATATGTAATACCACTGACGTGAAGCTTGTTTCAACCCATATATGGATTTCTTGAGTTTGCAAACCATATTGTTTTCTTTATCTGAATGAAAACCTTCAGGTTGTTTCATATATACCTCATCATTCAAGTCCCCATTAAGAAATGCCGTTTTCACATCTATTTGATGTAACTATAAATCAAAATGAGCTACCAATGCCATGATAATACGAAGAGAATCCTTTATAGAAACGGGAGAAAATGATTCATGGTAATCAATGCCTTCCCTTTGGGTATACCCTTTGGCTACAAGTCTGGCCTTATATTGTTCAATCTTGCCTTTTGGGTCTCTTTTAGTCTTATAAACCCATTTACAGCCAACTGCATTAGCCCCTTCTGGCAATTGAACCAAATCCCAGACTTGATTTTTGGCAATAGAGTCTAGTTCCTCTAACATGGCATCATACCATAACCTTGAATTTTCTCCACTCATGGCTTGTGAAAACGTAATTGGGTCTTTATCAATTCCAATATCATGGTCAATTTCTTATAGATATACAACATAATCAGAGGGGATTGCAGGTTTTCTTACTCTTGAGGACCTTCTTAACTCTATATGTTCATTTAGAACAGGTTCATTGACAACAGGATTCTTATGGGTAGGACCTTCTTGATTTACCTGTTCTTCCATAATAACATCTTGAGAAATGTCTTGAAGTATAGGTAAAGGTTCTTTAGTCACAGGTCTACCAACTAAATCCCGTGTTTCCTCAAAAATTAAATTTTGAGGTTGTTCACTCCCACTAATGTCAACATCCTCAAGAAACCTAGCATTTCTCGCCTCAACAATAATGGGTTTATGCGAAGGACAATAAAACTTGAACCCCTTGGACTTTTCTGCATAGCCAATAAAAAACCCACTTATTGTCTTTAAGTCTAACTTTTTCTCTATAGGATTGTACACCCTAACCTCAACTGGACAACCCCATATGTGTAAGTGTCCTAAACTTGGTTTCCAACCATTCCATAACTCAAAGGGTGTTTTTGGAACCAATTTGGTTGGAACCTTGTTTAAGATATACACAACGGTTTTTAAGGCCTCACTCCATAGAGATAAAGGGAGAGAAGAATTACTAATCATACTTCTTACCATATCCATTAGCATTCGATTCCTTCTTTCTACTACATTATTTTGTTCTAGTGTGCCTGGCATCGAATATTGTGTTATAATGCCATTCTCCATAAGGAATTTTGCAAATGGACCTGGTCATTGTCCTTGTTCTGTATATCTACCATCATATTCTCCTCCTCTATTCGATTGCACTATCTTGATTTGTTTTCCCTTTGTTTTTCTACCTCCACCTTATATGATTTAAAAACATCAAGTGCTTCACTTTTATCATTTAGAAGGTAAAGATACGTAAAACGTGTGCAAACATCAATAAAGGTGACAAAATATTTTTGACCATTGAAACATGAAATTTGAAAAGGTCTATATATATTAGTGTGTATGATCTCTAAAACTTGAGAACTCCTTCTGGCACCCTTATTGGTTTTGTTAGTCTGCTTACCCTTTATGCAGTCCACACAAATACCAAAATCAGAAAAATCAAGAGTATCAAGTACTCCATCATTTACTAATCTTGTAATTCTTTGTAAGGAAATATGTTATAATCTCCTGTGCCATAATAAAGAAGATTTCTCTATTTTAGCCTTACGCTTAATGCCAATATTTCCATGCAAGGTTAAGTGGTTATGGTCAATATTAGGGTTTAAATCTAATTTATATAAACCATCAACCAAAATACCATTACCAATAACAACAGAATCTTTTACAATACTTAAAGAAGTATTAAAGAAATTAAAACTAAAACCAAATCCAACAAGTTTCGAAATAGAAATCAAATTTTTTGAAAAAGTTGGAATATAAAAAGTTCTTTCAAGTTCTAATGTAGAGCCAGATGGTAATGTGAGTCTGTAGGTTCCAACCGCCTCCACATGTGAACTCATCTTGTTCCCCGAATAAATGAAATTTTCACTTTTCGTCAGTCTCCTTAGGTTGATTGAACCCTGCATGGTATTAGCAATGTGAATTGTGGAACCAGAATCAATCCACCAAGCATCATTAAATGTATTAACTACATTTGATTCATAACACACAAAGGAAAATAGATTACCCTTTTTAAGCAGCCAAGCCTTATACTTTGGACATTCCTTTTTTATGTGCCCTTTCTTTTTGCAGAAGAAGCATTTGATGGTACCTTTATCGTCAACTTTGCTAGTTGATGCATTTCCCTTCTTCTTAAATTGCACACCCTTTTTGATATATCCCTTTTCCATGAGTCGCTAGATGAGCACTTTCTAGCTTCTCCTGATTCAATCTCCCCTCCTCTTGAACACACATGGTAAGCAATTCATTAACTGACCATTTTTACTTATGTGTGTTATAAGAAATCTTGAATGGCCCATATTCAGCAAGCAGGGAGTTGAGTATAAACTGGACAAGGAATGTCTCTGAAAAGGTAAACTCCAATGAGTTCATTTGGGCAGCTATATCTCTCATTTCCATAATATGTTCACGGACCCCTTTATCACCCATATGCTTCATTGATGATAATTTGGTCATTAGGGTGCTAATCAATGCTTTATCGGAACTTACAAACTGTTGTTCAATTGCTGTCATGTTTTCTTTTGCCTTAGTACATTCAGGAATTGAACTCCTTATGTTTTTCCCAATATAACATTTAATGAGACATATACTTAAGCGATTTGATCGCTCACACCTCTCATAAGAAGCCCTTTCACTTAGCGTACTTGATTCCGTGGGGATGGGTGGTTCATCCACACGAAGTGCCAAATCAATGTCCATACACCCCAATGTTAGAAGGATTTTCTCCTTCCAATCCAAATAATTATCACCAGTTAAAAATGGGATATGAGATGAACCAATATTGACAGAACCAGATGAAATTACTGCAAAAAGAAAACATGCCAAACATTACTCTACTATACAATAAACTTTATTGAAATTCTTAACCCACGTTAAAAATTTCATATCAAAACAATGTGTCATTATAACCTTCCTGTGGGCAGAGATTTTAATACACTAAAGTTTTGAAAAATATAACCATAATGGGATAAAATATTCTTTACTGGCATTAAATTGATAATGATACAGTCTTGTGGGCATTTGTATTCATTGCCAGTTTAATTCCATATCCCCTTCTTTTTTTTTGTTTATCCACGTTCATTCATAAACAATGATTATTTCCCTGTAGGGCAGAATAAAACACTTTTTATGAATGAACTATAACCTTTTAATGCATAATCTTTATGTGATATAAATATCATATATTAAAACTTTTTATTTTTTATTTTTATTTTATATTACAAAACCAACAACCAAAGATGCTTTGGCTACTCTCTGGTTAAAAAATACAAATTAAAATAGTAGTAATACTCATACTTTAATAAATTGTATGTATGAAAATATATTGGATATGAATTTTTTTTTTTTTTTTTTTTTTAAAAGCAGTAACTGTATAACTCTGGAGTATTCTTCATTTGTATAGAAATTTTCAAAACTATACAACTCCAAAGTATTCTGTATAAATAAAAATTCATTATAAAACAAATCTTTATGGTCTTATGATGAGATTTACCCTTTTTTAAAACAGTCGGGTTTGAATCACTTTTACCATCAAAAAGGCCAACGTTGCTCCCACTGTATAAATTCATAATGACATTCTCCCATATTTAAAGCAGTCGTTAAACACTTTATTCATCGCAATCCTTATGGGTGTAGTATTCTACCACTTCATTCCGGCCAACTTAACCAAACAATAAAACAGTACCGGAAAAATATTACAGACAGAAACACACCCACCAAAAATAATACAGAACAAATAGAACACAAAGGAAATATTACATGCCAAAAAGACAACGGCGACATAGCCGCTAAACAAATATTATAGGCCAGAAATAGAACGGCAACATAGTCGCTAAACAAATATTACAGACATACAAACCGAAGGATAACATAGCCAAAAGGTATCGCTCTAATACCAAATGAAAGAAACTATAAGTCCAAAGAGATCGCATTACCTCCAGCCATGAAATCAGTTTGGTTAATGCCTGCAAAACAAATTTGAAAATCCTAATGATGTTGACGCCTATACAAATTTTTATGCGTGTACTTGATGGAGACAACACAGACTACTTTTGTTAGGCATGGGACCTCTGTAAGGATTCTGTATGAATGAAACGAGAGAGAGAGCAATCCATCATGCTAACCCTTGTTTTAAACTAATCAGATGATAACCACCATCAACTTCCCACAACCACACGGCTGTAATTTCCTACAACGTGTAACGTTGTGTTAGACGTAGTGGATTAGAATATAAATGTATTGTGGCAATATAGGCCACACGTGTTATAAATATACGTGTCTAACATAATAATGACAGCTAAATCAAGTACGTGGTTGGTTGCAAAAAGTAAAATCAAGGCAAACAAATATCAACATATATTGTTGCCAAATAGAGAATTCCATATGTAAATGGATATGTTTCTGTTCTTCAATGAGAATATATATTTGTATAAAAGTGCAATGCTTTGTGGGTATGCCTATGTTCAAACAGAAACAAAGATGTCCACATATGTATATAATTGTGTCAACGTCCACATAAAAAATTCAGCTGAAATTTGAACAAATTAATTAAGAGCTGAAGAAGGAAGAATATAAATAATTTTATGGTGGATATATAAAGGAGTCAGATTAAGAAGGATACCTTAAAGGTATGAAATGTCTGGGATGTGAGCAATCTTAGGCCAATCTTCCCCCTTTTCCTTTTGGCATCTATCATTTAGCTGCTGTGAACCATATCCGATAATCAGTTGTTGTAATGCGGTGAGCTGACGTATGCCTTCGGGCAGTGACTTCAAACTCGGACAATCATAAATACCAAGTTTTTGAAGTGATGTGAGGTTGCCTATCCACTCTGGTAAACTTTCCAAATTTTCACATTCTGAAATGGATAGAGATTGGAGAGTGGTAACGTGTTGAAGCCCTGCAGGAAGAGACTCCAACTTGGGGATGTTGTGGATAAGCAGAGAAGTTAGGTTCCTGAGGCCTTCAAAATGCATGCCATCATCTGACAAATCCAACTCTTGGCACGAGTAGATCTCCAGGGACATGAGGGCGGTGAGATGCCTCATCCCTCTGGACAGAGAGGTTAGTTTTGGACACCTTCCAATCTCTAGTTTTAGTAGAGAAGTGAGAAGTGGGAATGCCTCCTCCGGCAGAGTAACTAGATCCTCAATGTAAGATATTGAGAGTTCCTCTAAGTCGGAAAGAGGAACGAGTGAAGAAGATGACGTTGCAACAGTAGTTGGGGTTTCCTTTGCCATCGTCAGTAACTGCTGTTGTAATACCTTCCCGCTGACTGCCCCAAATTCTAGTTTTACTACAGTTGGTTGCAGAGGCATTGATGTTAGCTGAGGGCAGCCATGAATCATTGATTCAACAAGACAAGGAAATGATGGGTGTGATAATAGCTGCTGCTCATCTTGATTGTTTGCTGTTGATTGTTCTTCATCTTCTCCTAATTTACTCCTCCACCATCCCTTCAAATTTGGCATTCCCGAGATATAGAGATTTTCCAGCGATGGAAAGAACATTGCTGCTGTTGTTGTTGTTGGCTCTCTTGAAGAAGATGGAGAAAAAGAGGACTCATTATTAACACCACCACAACTGTTGTCATCTATGTACTCTACCGATTCTAAGCCAAAAAGAGAGGCTTTTGAGACAAGGAAGCTGCTCGAATTTTGGAAGATGTTTGCATCCGTTGCAATTATCTAAAGAAATTTCAACAAGATTCAGGAGGAAGGACATCCAGGTTGGTAATCCCACACCCCCATACCCTTCTATTTTAAGCTTTTTCAAATTTGTGTGTGGCCGGAGAGCTTCCAACACCGACTCTAACTCATCATCATCATCATCAATATGGTTGTCAAAATATAAACTCAAAGACTGAAGGTGTTGTTTCTCTTTCAAGTTTGCTTCCTCTGCTTCTTTTAATCTTGGCCTCGACCACTCTAGTACAATTGACAGCTCCCCCCTTAAATTGTTTAGATCTTTCAATTCACTTAACCTGTTAGATGGACCCACCTTGAATTCTTTTAAAGTTCGAAGGCAAGTCAACTCCCCCAGTCCACGCGGCATATCACTCAATCCATGGCAACCATCAATCTCGAGATGCCTAAGCCTCACCAATTTTCTAATCTCTCTTGGCAATCGTTCCAGGCTTTCACAATGGCTAAGTTTTAGGGTTTGCAAATTTGGCAACTCGGTTATAGAATTTGGCAGTGTCTTGATACCAGAATTACCAGAGAGATCTAGATACCTTAAATGTGTTAGCTTACTTATGCAACTTGGCACCGTTTGGAACCCCAATTTGTGCAGATCCAACACCCGTAACCTTTTAAAGGTGGAAACAATTTTTGCATAAACTGAATTCTCCCGTTCCACATCATATGAAACTGTTGAATAATAACCTTGAGCCGGCCAAAAAAATGTTCTTATTCCGATAGCTCCAAGCAACGGGGCTGGAATTTCCCATGGTCTATCATTTAAAGATGGCAAATCAACCGACACATGATGGATTCTTGGGGGAACTTCTTTTGTGCTCAAATTTACCATCAAACTCTCACTTTCCGCAACTAAAACTGCAAGGTCATGCATAAGATCATGCATTTTACAACTTATTATATTACCAAATTTGTCTACTTCCTCATCCTGAAAAAATGACCTCCTTAATAACATTTTAAAATACAAATCTCCAACATCCTCCATATCTTCATTTTCATTTGACAACCAGATAAATCCATGCGCGCACCACAATTGAATCAATTGTTGCTTATCAATTACATGATCCTTAGGATATAAGCAACAAAATGCAAAGCATTGCTTTAGATGCCAGGGAAGGTGATCATAGCTCAACTTTAATATTGGTAGAACAATATTCTCCTTTTGAGCTATTTTTGGAATATCTTTATTTTTAAAACTCAACCACTCCTCCTTTGTCTCTCTCGAGTATAATAGGCTTCCTAATACCCTAATGGCTAAAGGAACTCCTGCGCACTTCTTCACAATTTCCTTTCCAATTTCCACCTGATATGCATTGTCTAACTCGTACTGTTCTTTAAATGCCATTTGCTTAAAAAGAGACCAAGACTCTTTCTCAGACAAGCCTTTTAAATGATATGGTGAATTTACCCCTGAAGCAGTTGCAACTAATTTACTACGGGTGGTTATTAGAATCTTACTTCCCTTTGCACCACCCATCAATAGTCTACTTAATTCCATCCATTGCACCCAATTCTCATTCCAAACATCATCCAACCCTAGGAAGTATTTCTTCCCATCAATTATTTCCCTAAGTTTCTTTTGCACTTCATCCATATGAAGGTCTTTAGTTTTTTCGCCTGTCGCACTTTCTATGATATTTTTTGCTATTTGTTTCACATCAAAGACATCAGAAACACACACCTACGATCAAAATGTTTAGCGACCTTTTCATCATTATTGACTAATTGTGCAAGTGCGGTTTTTCCCATCCCCCCGATCCCAACTACTGCAACGACAGACACATTCTCTTGAACGTTGGAGTCCATCAACAATTCTACAATTGCCTTTTTATCATTATCCCTCCCAATAACATCTTCAGCACGCACAAAAGAGTGACTCTCCTCCCTCTTCACTTGCACATCTATAGGCCGTTCACCACCGAAGTGGAATTTGATCTTATTTTCAGCAATGGCATCTAGTCTCTCACAAATGGCCTTAACTTTGTGACTCATCTTAAAACGGAAAAACAGCTGGTTTGAGCTTGAAAAGAAAATGCGTACCTTCTTGGCCTTTTTGTTCTTAGTCATCACCTTACGCCGCAAATCTTCTGTTGAGAAGTCATCCAGCAAGTCATCGACATCATCAACCACTTCTTTGAGCATTTCAACCAAAGCACTATCCTGCCTGTTTGTAGCGTCGTGCTGCTGCGCATCGAAAAGTCCGGCTTTGACAATGGAAATGGTGTCCTCCAATTTGGCAGTCTCTGTTTTGAGACCACACAGCAATTGGATCTCTTGGAAAGCATCAGAGCCCAACTTCTTCACAATTTCAGTCACAACGCCAGAAAGAATTGCGTCTGCCATTTTTTTAGTGGTTACTGAAAGTACTGAATGAAAAGCAATACTATATATCTATGAGAGGTTGCGCGCAGTAAGTGGAAGACTGCCATAACCCCTATTTATAGATAACATACTCCTTCCTCTCAAGAACCCTAACTTAGCCACCATTGGAGGAAAGATATCACTTTGTTTTCACTTGTTATAGTTCACCGTCCTAGTTCAAGAATTGTCTGGACTACCAACAGAGGCTCCAACATTACAGGTTCGCAAAACCCTCGCTGAAACTAAAAAAAAAATTTACTCTAAAAGTTAAACATACACTCCTTTCTCTTTTTTTTAGACACACCCCCCACAAAAATATGGAATTGTTTATAATACAGGGAACCAGTGAGTAGGGCTGCAAATGAGCCGAGCCGAGCCGAGCTTTAGGCTGTTCGGGGTCGGCTCGTTTGTTTATGGGATCAGCTCGGGCTCGGGCTTGGCTCGTGACGAGCTCAAAAATTTGAGCTCGGGCTCGGGCTCGGCTCGTTTAACAAAAAAATTAAATTAAAATTCAAAATTAATTAGTATTCTACAGGCCACATACACACTATCATGCAAAAAAAACACAACAATAACAACAAATTGCTATATTTGTGTCATTACAATATTCATTGTGTTTGCCATAGAGGTCTCAGGAAACCTACAGAGTACAAACTAGAAACAAGCTAGGAAAGTAAAATTTCATCCAAATTGAGAACCTAATCACTAGAAATATTATAAAGAAAACTGAAAACTAATATTCTAGGCATACATAAAAACTCATAGCCACCCAATTGTCTATCAAAAAGGAAACATCAACTTCTCTTAAGCCTTCTTCTTGTCTTTTAATTGCCCTCTTGGAATCTTATCACAACTTTGGCATCAAAAACTGCATACTATTACTTG